TTAAGAATTATGCAAGGCCAAGATAGGGTTGGATGATGACATACCACCAAAACAGCATAAACAATGGAAGAAGTGGTTAGAAAGCCTACCACAACTAGAATCAGAATTCAGAATCAACAGGTGCATGAAACCATTAGACTACGACAGAGCACAACATGCTGAGTTGCACCATTTTTCAGACGCAAGCGAGAGTGGTTACGGAGCTGTCTCTTACATTAGAATAATCAATCACAGCAATGAGATCAACTGTGCCTTACTTATGTCAAAGGCTAGGGTTGCACCGCTCAAGCAAATAACAATACCATGCATGGAATTAACTGCGGCAACAGTAGCTAAACGATTGGACAAAATGTTAAGAAGAGAATTAGACATTGTTGTACATAACTCATACTCATAACTCATAAAACTGTTCTTAGGTACATCATGAATAAAGCTACGAGATTTCACACCTTTGTAGCTAACAGATTGGCAGTGATTCATGGAGGATCAACTGAAGACCAGTGGAGATATGTGAACACTGCTGAGAATCCTGCAGATGAATGCTCAAGTGGGCAATCTATACAGAAATTCCTAGAGAATGAGCGCTGGATGAGAGGACCACCTTTTTTGTGGGAAACGCAAGACAAATGGCCAGTCAACAAATCAGACTGTGAAATACATGACAACGACTTAGAGATTAAGCGAAACATTGAGGTGCACACCACCATTCACACAAGAGACTTCAGAGAGCCCATTGACAGGCTAATCACGCACTACTCAAGTTGGCATCGGCTAAAGAAAGCTGTGGCATGGATACAGAAAATCAGGAATGCACTACTACAACAATCACAAGGTGATAAATATACCATCAAATCGATGACAGTAGAAGACCTACAGTCTGCAGAGAGCATGATTATACAGAAGGTGCAACACCAAGCATTCTCAGAAGAAATCAATGATCTAACGCACATCAACTCAGATCACAGCTTCAGAAAGAAAAGCCACATTAGAAAATTGGATCCTTTTATTGGAACTGACGGATTGTTGCGAGTAGGAGGGAGATTGCGATTTGCGGAAATACCTGATGAATCGAAACATCCTATACTACTTCCGAAGGACTCAATAATATCAGAGTTGATACTACGACAAATACATGAACAAGGGCAACACTTTGGCCATTCGTACATACTGTCTCAGCTACGAGAAAAGTACTGGAC